CTCCCGAACCACAACTGGAAGCAGCTGTAGCAGTATTAGTGGCAATGACAAGTATTATTTATTCAGGTATTTACATAAAGATGGTATAAATAAAAGGTTTCCTAGCAGTTTCTCTAACAGTAAAACTATGGTGAAGAAGTTACTTGGTTAGGATTGGTTTCTATAATAGAAAGCACAGTGATAGCTCATGGTTATGGCATTGAAACACCTTGAGGCCTGAGGTTAGTTTTCAAAATTGGTGAACTTTCTTGTTCCAAAAGGTGCGGGCCAGTTACCAAAAAAATCTCATGAAGTTAGCTGGGAATCTACTGAACAATATTTAACACATACCTGGGAGCTTCAACATGCATCTTGGGTTAGTCTCTCCTCATTTAGTCACCCTGCATCCTAATAGAATAACTTGTTTCGTTAATGTGCAGATCTATGACCTGAGAGTAACCATTCATGATGGTTATCTGAACAGTGAGAAGACATTTGGGCAGTTTGAGCTGATCCATAAGCAGCTGCAGAAATACTTTATTGAATCTACGCTGCCTCAGTGAGTAAAGTAAAAAACAATTTCATTTGAAGCACTGTTTTTTTCTTTCACAGTAATAACCTAATTTGATACATGTCTTAACTCCTTCTCCCTTATAGGTTTCCTAGCTGGTATAAGATGTCATTCACCCCAGGCAAGAGGGTGACTCAGCTGAATAAATACCTGAAGCAGCTTTTTGAGGGACCATGCAAGGGAGTAAGTTCCTCTTGTCACTGGTTGATTGCTGTCAGTGATCTCTTGTTATAACTGGCTCTAACTTGTGAACCTGCCTCACTCTGCAGAATGAATATGTGTGCAGCTTGTTCCTGGATGGCCCCAACATAGTCCAAGAACCTGTGGTGACAGGTACATTTCTGCGCTTGGGTGTATAAAAAATGATTGTGAAAGATTTTTGGGGGAAAAAACATCATAATAAAAGTAATATTTAGAATGTGAGGACTACTTTTTTGCTATGTCTTGAGGAAATTCTGATGATACAATATACAATATAAGGCATGCTGTGACTAACTGGGACTGATGTGCTGATCTATTGCAGGAGCCCGTCCTCAGATCCAGCTCTACATTTCTCACTCTGACTGCAAGCTCTCAGTCATGGTAAAACACCTAAAGAACATTGTAAGTTTCCTCTACTCTTATAGTTGCATTATCTGTAGCTTTTAACAAGAGGAAAGCATACATAGTAAATGTGTTCTCCCTTAAATATAGGCTGGTTGTCCTTTACGACCCTTTTTTCTCTTTTCAACAGAAGCAGGCAAACGGCTCTAACCCCGACGCCTACGTGGTCACGCGTCTGAGACCAGACCCTAAGCAGCGCTCCAAGAAGAAGACAAAGGTGGTCCGCAATGATGACAACCCCACCTTCAATGAACTGGTACAACTTCCATCCTCCTTATCCTATATCCATGATTTAGCACAGTCACAGCATCCTGTGGTTTTTCCATTAGATTACTGAGCAGGTTTAAGAAGGTATTGCTTTCATCATTTGATAATAGGCTAGTAGTCCATGTACCTTTCAGCAAGCAATTAAATTAGTTGCCATTTTGCTGAGTTTTGTGCAAAAGGAATTAAACGCCTGTCCTAGATAAATGCAGGTTGATTTCAGTGATTGAAGCAAATAAAAGTCAAGGCTTTTAATTGAAGATAAGTATATGGGAAGCTAAATTATATTTATAAATGTTGTTTTATTAAAATCCCAAAAACTGTTTTTGTACATCCACTGGTGAGCTTAATTGCTGTCACTCAAAGCTTTAAACATTTACTCTTACTTCTGAATCTTCCGCCTGCTGTGTGAGTCTGATGTGATCTTTGAGTGTTGAACCCTGCAGACGCTGACCAGTAGCTTCCCACATACTCACTCCCAAGCCTCTTTTATGTTGCAAAGTGAAGCCTTAACAGAGCCACATACAAAGAAACAAAATAATAATTGTTCCATAGAAATTTCAGGTAACAGCAAAACTGTACAAAAGACAAATCCTCAAATTAATGGATGTTCTGAATGTAGAGCTGTTATATAAAAATATCTGCCTTTCATTCACAGATGGAGTACAATGTCCCACTGCTTTATGGGATAATGCTGGAAGTGACAGTGAAGAGCAAGAAGACTTTTGTGGGTGCAACCAACATTAAACTGGAGAAGGAGTTGCTTGACAAGGAGGCCTGGTTTAACCTCGGGAACTGTGCAATCTGACCTCAGAGAGCTGCACTGTAGGCCTGCTGCCAGAAGGGGGTGCAACCACACTTAGGGAAAAAATCAGTCCAAAGATTTCTCAGACTGTATGAGTGAGACAAACTGACCTGAGTAGAGGAACTGAGCACTCTCATTTATACCTATTTATCAGATGTAAATTAACTTCACTCCAGAGCTAAATATGCTGGCAGTGGTTGATATATTTGGATGAAGTTACAAGGCTGAGTAAAAGACTCAGGAAAGAGACTGTTTACTATGTGAAGTATCATTTATTATTATTTGTTTATTATTAAGTGTTAATCAGATGAAGGACATTTGCTAATTAATCCAATGTTTGGATGTGGCCACGATTATGGATGAAGGAAAGAAACTATTACTTGTATTATCATACATGCACTTTTGTTTGTACTTTAACTGTGTTTTCTTCTCTGCGAGTCAAAACCGTCCTTGTAAACGTGTGTGGTCGAGACTGTCGATGTGACAGATTAAAGAGGAGGTGTGGCAGTGATGTTAAGAGCTACCTGCCCAGACTCTGTGTGTGTGTGTGTGTGTGTGTGTGTGTGTGTGTGTGTCCCTTTGGGCTATGTCAACTGGATGTCCTTGACCAGTGGAATTGGAGGCGGGAGGCCGGAGGGGGAGTGAGCAGAGGGAGTGGGGTGAGGAGAGTGTGTGAGCAGGATGACAACTCTGCCTTTCTGGCCTGAGGGGCTGAGTTAACACTCTGCCCCTTACTCCATCCTTTGTCTTATCCATCAGTGGCATTCAGCTATGCACATGCATGCACAAACACGGAACAGGCAGACGCTCACATGTCAACAAATACCACTGAACAAAGCACCTCCTCACACACACACAGGCTCACACTCTTTCTAGGCTTAGGCAGGTTGTCATGTTATCTTAATGCCATCCTCCTCCTGACAGGCCTGCTGACCCGTGCTCTCCTCCGCCTCATTCATAGGATTTAGTGATGAACGAGGATAGAAATAGACTTCCCCACACTGGATTTGGTTTAATAATGTATACCTCTGTGAATGCTATTTATATTATTCCTTGCTGGGTATCTCACAGTGAAAGTGAAGTGCTGGCTGCTACTCTTTCATAGTAGTATTCATGTTGTATTAATGTATCCTGGCATCACTCATCAGTTTCAGACCTAATAAAAGCATCTATTGTTTTGGAACACATGATTAATCCAAAACCAACACTGTTTCTTGTGGTTGGGTAAGATCATCTTATGTGTGTTCAACTCTACCACAATAATTGCACTTGCATCAATTATTAATTCTATGATAAGAATCTGATATCCTGCTCCGGGGATTTCTCCAGCCGGGAGTTATTCTTCGTTAGAGTGTCTTTTCAGCCCTGCTGGAACCTTCTGGTGTTTTCCTCTGCAGCACAGAGCGCAGGCAGTAGAGAGAAGGCACGTCTATTTTCTGACAATAAAACTGGTATTTATATCTGAGGAAATGGTGCTTTTGATTTATTTATTTATTTTTGTTGTTGTTGTTGCCGCATCAGCCACGCTTCCCTATCGGTTGGCAAGGTGTGTGTGTGTGTGTGTATGTGTGTGTGTGTGTGTGAGTCTGATATAGAGAGCTGCTTTTAGGCAGACCAAACAACGACAAAGAGGGTGGCTGGATCCAGACTGCATCCGTCTCGGGACCGGAGAGGCACCCAGCGGTGGCCTGGAGGTGGAGAAGGAAGGGGGAATATGAAAAGAAATGTATGTATAGCTGCTAAATACATGCGCATCATATATATAGGTGGAAGCATTTCCATAAAAAACTCCAGAAACCAGAGACCAACCTTCAGTAATGCTGACACTGGGACTGACGGGAAATACAATGATGGTCACACAAAGTCACCTGATGTAATTTAGCTCTCTATCTGACTCCCAGCCCCCCACCTCCTCTTGCTCTTTCTGCCTCTGTGGCTCACCTTTCTTTATGCTGGTGAAGGGCAGGGTGTACTGGCCCACAAACTCACTGCTGAGAAGGCCGGTCTGGTCTTGGACACAGAAGCGGATGAGGCAGAGTTCTGGGACGCTGATGCTGAAGATCATTTCAGTATTCCAGTAAGGATTCAGAGCTGTAATCAGAATCAACCAGTGCATTAAAATCATTAAGGATCAACAGGTTTAGTCAGTATAATCAAAATGTTTATATTCTCTAAACAATGAGTCAAATTCCGGATTTTATTGTCCATTTAAAAAAAAAAAGCTAAAGGCCCTGTCTATAGACAGTGTTTGGTTTATCCATTCTGGGCTCCTGTAGAAACATGGAGGTGGACTCCATAGAAGGCGACCTGCAGCATCTGTAGACAAAAACGGTTCTAAAGTAACATACCTATCAATATTATATTCCATTTCTGCCAATAGATCCTGCTGATGTTACACATTTGACCTTTAAAGGGTAATGCCATGAGTTTGTTGATAGTTTTGCAGGTATTTAAATTCAAATTCTGTCCTGCTGGTGGCACTAGAAGAATAGTCGGGGAATGAAAAAAGTTATTACAATTCATCCTTTACGGGACTGAATGTCTACAAAATTTCATCTTAATGCATTGTTGAGATATTTCAGTCTGGACCAAAGTAGTGAACTGACCAACAATTGACTTTGCCATCCATCGAGTGAATACATAATTATCAGATCCACAGTATGATGACGATTTACATGACAAGTGTTGTTTAGGTGCAATTTCTCAGTGACAAATGGGCAGAGCACGAGTAAATAACTAATAAGTCATATCTGCTGCAATTCTCAATCCATTTCTGATTCAAAACAAATTTCTCAAGTTGCTCTGTAACATCCAAGTTTTAATCTAAATCCACATTCATTTGTATTCACCAGTGACCTTATCTGTTTCATAGTGTAAAACGATTTTATGATTTATGCCCATGCATAAGTGCTCTGCACCCTCCAGGACTCTTAACTATCTCTCCCACCCTCTCTCTCTCTCTGCTTCTGAGACAAAGAGAGGGTCTTTGTCTCATCTCAGCAGCTGCATTACAGTGTTATATCCCATCAATGTTATGTCTTGATATTAAGTTAATTTTCATGTTGTCGTTCTTTGAAAAAAGAAGAAGCTCCAAATTCAATGCGACAGATGATCTGTGGTGAACACCAGCTGAAATATGAGTTTATCAAAAACCTTGGCAGCTATAGGATTAACTTCCACATGTCTGATGACAGGTAAATTTAAGACCAGTCATTTTCATATTTATCATTATAAACAAATAATAAACTAGCTCTAGTCATTTTTAATGATGGTGATAGGGTGCTGTGATAGTTCTGAATGGAAAATATCCATCAAACTGAAACTGTAGCACTTCATCGTGTGTGCAGTGACTGTCAGCTCCATGTTTTCAATCATAGCAACAGTACATGACAGACTCCTCTTCAAAGGAATCCACTTGTACATTTTGAAGAAACTCATCAGCACATTTGCCCTCAGAAGCCCAACAGCAGCTTACTAGGAAACAGATTTGAAAGGAAGAAAAACTGCTGTCATAGAAAACTCCCTAGATTCCAGTTTAGGTGGTTTCCATGTTTTTACTTGAAGGTTTACATTGCCCTACAGTATGCAGGTAGGCATGTTCTTAACTGTCATTTGTATTTCTATCTGCATGTGTTAGTATAAAACCAGAGGTGGGCATGTTTTTAGCCATGCTCGCTGCCCCTAGAGATGACAATGTCGGCCAGCCCCTGACCTTTCCTCTAGTGCAACCATGAGGTTGAATGTCTCAACAATGTTTGGATGGATACACTTTGTACAGACATTCATGTCCCCCTCAGGATGAATTGTGACAACTTCATCTGGTGCCATGATAAAGTCAAAATTTTAACTTGTCCAATACTTTGGTTTATGACCAAATACCAGAACAGTAATGATATTCAGTCTCAGCTGTAGTTTCTCTTTATTGCTAATTATCCAATTAAGACTACTGTAAAAGACTAGCCTTTATTTTGTTATGTGTTTTTGTCTTGGAGGTAGTGTGTCCCCTCAGAGTTGTTGTAGTTAGCAGGAGTTATAATCAGAATCACGGGTTGAGTTGCGTGAGAAAAATAAAAATAAAGAAGCTGTTGCTGGTTATTGCATCCATGTATATTTTTTTATTAAACCTACTCAGTTAGGTAAACCCCAGATGCTTGGCTACACTACTAAAACCATTAACTAATACGGTAAACATGGTAAGCATTATAACTGCTGAACATCAGCATGGTGTCATTGTGAGCATTTTAGCATGCTGATGTTAGCATTTAGCTTAAAGGACCAGCCTCCTGTAGTTCACCCTCCCCTTACAAGTGCAAAGAAGAAACTACAGTGGCTGCAAAATGCACAAAAAACACAAACAGCCCTATCTAGAGCCAGTGTTAGGTTTGTCCGTTCTGGGCTACTGTAGAAACATGGCAGTTCAAAATGGCAGCCTCCATTGAAAGCATCCTGTGGCATCTGTAGATAAAAACAGCTCATTTTAAGGTAACAAAAACACAAAAATTCTTATTTTCAGGTGATTGTATTCCATTTCTGCCAATATCCAAATCCTCTTAATGTTACCTTTAAAGCACTGTTGTGACTAAGTGCAGCCTCACAGAGCTCCTAGCATGGCTGTTGTTACTACTCCTACTCTTCCAATATTATTGCAATTAAGTCATTATTCTACAGCATTTGGCTGTTGCCACCCCAGCACCATTTTTAATGCAAGAAACCGTCAAAGTCACAATGTCCAATGTCTTTCTCAACAATACTGAGAACACTGAAAAAATTTATCTTGAATTGATAAAAGTATCCGTATCATTGTCTTGCATTACTTACAGTTTTTGACAGTATGTGTGTTTTTTCTGCACGAGTCGGATGGAACCCCATGAATCTCTACTCTGACAAAGGCGTCCAGAGCTTTGCCTCCCCTTGGGACAGGTAAGTTGGACCCTCTGATCACCTGTAGATAGACACACACAGAGAGAGGCAGTCCAGATGAGCACACCGGGTGTATGAGAATGTAATTGGCATCAGGGATAAATAAGAAAACAGAAATTATAAAAAAGAAGAGCCAGTAAGAGCAGAGAAAAGAAGAGGACAGGACTGTAATTACACTAGTCTGGAGAGAGGCAGGCTTATCTGCAGTCCTCTCACACTGAGTCTTCCCTTCCCCAGCTCTGATCAAAGACAAACCTGCATGTACTTATCACGACATGCCCCGCTTGGCACTGATGGAGCTTTACAATGTCCGGCCCAAAATACAGTCCCCTTCCTCCCCTGAAGTCATGCTACAAAACACCCTGCCTTATGCTCATTCACAGTTACAATGGTCCTTGTGAGTGTATAGATAACAGCCTGAAGTAATCATTTCATATAGATTTGCTATTGAAAAACAGACCATTGCTTATAGTTGACAGTTTTATGCTAAATAGTCTCATGAAAGCTCAAGGGGAAATATTGTTTTCCTGAACACATGAATTATTTACTATTTAAAGATTGAAAACTCAACCCTACCTAAGTTACAACACTGAATGCTGCTCATGACTCGGTTCCCACTGAGTTTAGAGCAGAGTCAAGATTGCACGATTTTCCCTGAAGTGATCAAATAATACAGAATGGTGATGTGAATAAATAAAGGTTTTTCCCAGGGCATCCAAAAACAGAACACATGCACTACATTTATAGTTCATGCATTGTGCTAGGAAGACGTAGCGTGTGTGCATACCCCATTAGGAGACAATGTCTGATATGCTTTTGTTTAACTTGTGAGAGCCTATACATCCTAATATACACATTTTCTTCAGTATAACCAATAATCATAGTACTGTATGATAGGTTTCTAAAGCAACAGATTGCATTTAAAACAGCCACTATACTGACTGAGCTAGGTCAACTGAGCAAATAATCCAAGATCCACGACTGGATCTGGTTGAAAAATACAAACACGCATTCAGCTCAAAGGTCAGTTATTGTAATTAGTTTGAGCCAATCCTTTAAGAGACATTTTCTGTACGATCCATTGCTGTTCATAAGACGAGCAGAGTAACTATGATGTTCCCTCCTCTACCTTTTCTGCAGTAAGTCTGTATGAGTCCCACATTATCAGAGCCATTTGGATGCCCATACAATAATTCCTTTGTAGTCCACATATATGTCAGGGTTCCCTAGGTTTCTGGAGGGCTTAGGTGCTGTGGTAGCAAAGGGGGGTGTTTGGGGGTCCTCCTCCAAGAAATGTTTATGTTGTTACTAAAAAAACAGGCATTTCAACATAATTTTAGACAATTATTATTACAATATTTATTAAATATATATTTATTATTTAAATATCAGGTTGTAGTTTTATAAATTACACCAGGTGTATGATGGACATCTGTCAGTATCAGTCCTTCCTTCTGTCCTCTCAGATTTGTGACAAATTCAAATAAATACTTTGACTACACGTAGCTAGTCATCTTTATAATTGGACTAAGAGTGTGTGAGCGTCGTCCTTATGGCCCACTAAAGAGATGTGACTTGATGTGAATGTGTTCTCCACCGCTTCTTCCCTCGTTTGTCATGTGGTTTGGATAAAGTACATTACAAGTGCTGCTATTACTGTCCACTAAGATGCTTAAAATAATGGAAAAGTGGATGATTTATTAATTGGACCCTGAGTCTAATTACATTAGTTCACCCCTCTCTCTCCTTTGCCTTTATTTTTTGAGGGAGATAATCTAATTAAACAGAGACACTCTCAGGGAGTTTTACATCATTGTTGGTTCACAGTATCTGGCAGGAAAGCATTAATCTGGAGGCAAAGAGTAAGATGAGCTCTGCTAAACAATCCCTTGAGTGTGCAGCTGTAAACACTTGCATGCATGTAAAAGCACAAACACAGTCCAGTAACATTACACCTTAATCCATAAAGCCACCCAGAGCATCCAGTGCTCCATAGCTGTACCTTGACCAGCAGGTGTGTTGGTTTGAGGCGGCGCTGGCTGCAGCTGGGATCAAAGCTCCTCTCTTTGGACATGAGCAGTCCCGGCTTCAGGATGTATCCACAGCCCCCGTTGTCCTGGAAACGGCCATCATTAAGGTCCATAGGAGAGCCCAGAGACTGGAAATTGAGAGCCACTGAAAAACACCACAAGACAATCTTGGAACAATGAAAATGAGGAGCCACAGAGCGTGGCCAAGAGATTTATAGGAAAAAATTGAGAATGCCTAAAGCTTGTTGAAATAAAACAAGCAGTGCAAGATGATCTCCTGCATACCTTCTGTTTTTATGGCTCTGAATTCTGCAGGAGGGAGCTAAATTATACAAAGACTTGAAATGTTTCCCGCAACAATACCATACATTGCATCAGGGACACATTCAAAATCACCAACTGTGAAATAAGCGCATCTGTCGTGGGTTTTCTGCAGTGCAAAGCTCTGTGTTGGCAAGTGTGCTGCAGACACCATGGGCCTCATTTATAAGGAGGTTCTGAAGCTTATTTGTAACTTACACACCTGCGCCTTTCTATGAATCTCAAATTACCTTAAAATTGACAGTACCTGCTTTACAATCAGCAATTTACCCTGATATAATGCTTGCACAAATGAGGTTTAGCCAGCAATAACCTTCTTCTTCTTAGCCTTCTACTGTTTTCTAACACAATGCACCTTTAACTGATCCTATCACATTGTTCATAAAGCTGATGTAAAGTTCACCACAGGCTTGGGCGCATATGAGTCCCAAACTGTAATAGTTCTACATAACCAGCAGGAAAATCACTTGAGTCAAGTCTAGACTTTGCTTAGAGATAAAATCATTTCCACATCAAAGTTTATAAATAACTACTTATACGTGGTTTTTCTGTGAAAGTCAGTCTGTTTTATAAATGAAGCCTCATGTCTTCAGTGTCATCAGTGACTACACTTTTCAAATATGTAAACTTTCAGATAAAGAAAGCAGCAGATGTAATCCTGCTGACAGGTCTGTGCTCAGTCTCTGCAGGGTTGGATTGTAAACTTTTGTGAGTCTGCTGTAACATAGATAATTATGTGATAAATATACAGCAACAAAATAAAACACCTTTAATTTTGTCCTAACCAGCACATAACAATGCATCCTTCTGCATCTTTTTATATATTTAAATACAGCTCATCTATCTATGAGTGATCAATCCAGACTGCTGCTTTGCACTGCAGTCTCTTGCAACTGTGAAAAGTGCCGATCACCATCTGCACAGCTGCCACCGAGGCACGTAGACAGTCTGCTCAGCGATCAGCAGGGCTTCATGTCAGAATCAGTGACTGGCTGAGCGATGGAAGCAGATGAAAAGGATGTGCAAAGGTGGAGTGACAGGAACTCGCCAAGACAGTGCCAGACAGATCAGGGTTGTGACTTTAAGTTCATGGGTAACCACACATTGCCATAAGTCTCGAAGATATAAAGGTTATGAATTATTTTTTGAAGCATAGATACTCTCAGGAGCTCAGGCATGTCATATGAAGTCAAGTCCAATGTTCATGCTTGACTCTAAAGAAATAACTGTAGGGAAAAAAACTGAGCTGTGACTCAGACAAGGATGTAGTTTAAAGAGAGAAAAAAATGCATTTAGGAGGGTTCAAATCGATTTTCGAAAAGGTGTGATAAGGGCCAGGTGAGGACTTGCTCTGGGGAAAACACAGATGAGGTGGTCAGGCTGTGGACTGGAATGAAATGTTCTTTTCACTGCTAATCGACAGGACACTTGGCCAGGCTGTTCCCTTTGAAGTTTGACAATCTGAGTTTCCGGACTGCATTTCTCTTCATTTGTTTTTAAAAAAAGAAGCTGGTAACGGAGGGTTCTGGTTGTTCTGTGTGTTGTTGAGAACTTTTTGATTCCTCCAAAGGAATCAAAGAAATTCTCTTTTCAAGTCTTTTCTGAATTGATGTTTTCAGGGTTTTCATCTCAAAATAGAAACAGAGTTGACAACAAAGTACTAATAACTTCAGGGCCATTTCATTACACCTTATTAATTTGACATATTTATTATTTGCTAATATGTCATTTATTTTATTTAAAAGCTTTGGAAATATGAAGTATTGTTTATAATATTAAAACATTAATTTCATATTCCTGTGCCTAATGTGTGTGTGTATACATGCATGTGGGCACATGTATGAACTTTTACAGCATACCTTATTAGTGCACACAGACTGGGATCATGAGCTCTTTCTCCTATTTTGGACAGGCATACATTCGCTCTGTCCCACTCACCGAGCTGTGAGCCGACGTTCCAAAACTCCTGAGGGTTGTAGTTGGAAGAGGCCGTCCTTGAGCCTGCTGGGTAAATCCTACTGAGGAACTTCTGGTTATGCTGAACAAAATCTGCACCTGAGGGAGAGAACGCACAACACTCAAAAGTCAGATGTCCCCTCTGACGCACTGTCCACTGATTCAGACTTAACGTTATTGATGCAGTGATTCAGCAAAGCATTTAAGTTTATCTACGTAGTCACTGTTTAATAGTATCAGTTATAAAAATGTCTTTGTGACAGATCAAAGTTCTTGACATTACAGATATGATTCTTGACTGTAACTTCAAAATATAGGCCCCCATAAGTAAGATACGCAAATGTAATTGCCTTTATATAGCCTAATGTTAAATTGACGTTTTTAGAGAAAATGTGACAAGGCGGAACTTGTACTGATCAGGTTTTGATAAATGTAAAATTATCCTCATTCTGGAGAGAAAACTGGCACACAGCTTTAGTCTGTGTGTGTGATCGTACCATAGCTGTGTAGTTTCCCTGCAGGGCTTGATGATGACAAGAGACTACAAGGTTTTTACAGCTCCAGCATTGCCTAGACTGTTCACAGTCCCTGCCAACCAAGCCAACCAGCTCATAATGTAGCTGTGTGTCTAGAACGTGTCATTCCTCCTCAGTGGGAGCAGATTTAATTTCTCTACATCACTCTGATCCTTCAGTATACTGCGGCACAGTGACAGTTTAAATGATTATCAGTTGATTTGAACCTCTGTAGGCTCTTTTCACTTTCCCAACAGTAAGATTATAAGGCACAATTCTGGACTTGCACTGTTGTGCTTTATTCCCTAACATCGTATATGTCATGTTCAATATGCTTTCACTATTACGGAGGTTTATGGCACCAGACATAATTGCATTTCTTGTCTAAAGTAGACAAAGAGTTCTCCTTTGAGCAACATAATTTTATTGGGCTCAACACCAGAATTTATTTTGTAACATTTGCAATTAATTAGACACATTCTTTATTGCTTCAAAATCTCCTTTTCTATTCCTAAAATTTCAACCCCTTCCATAACACTTTACCTGAGGCTTTGACTAGCTTCCGAGCTTTGTTCTCTGCCATAGATGTGTTCTCAAAGTAGTTCTGATTGTCCTTGGAGTGACTAAAGCTGATGAACTTGATAGACCTCGTGTATATGACCAGGTCAGATAAAGCCTCTGCCACCACCACCTTCTTTTTCTACTCATTACATTTAGGGTAGAGAGGAAGACAAACCAAACACAGCATTCACCGTATTGGAACAAATAGTTATGTACAAGATTAAAGCTTTGCATTTTTGTCCTATTATCTTAGTGGTTGCAATACATTTAAATATATCTGTACAGCATCTCCTCATACAACCTGTCTTTGTCATTCTGTTCTTAAATATAACTTACTTTTGTCTTTGACCCTGCCTTTGTCAGAAACCAGAACTTCGATTTGGTGTGATGGTCCTCTTCCTCTTCAATGTCCTCCTCCTCATCCTCGCCCTCATCTACACTCCTCTCTGCCTCTGTCCTAATCTGAGGCTTTAGTTTTTTATTCTTGATGAGGATCTTATACTTCAGGTCCTGGCATTCCCACACAAAAAAACATTCTATATGAATTAACACATGAATAAATGCAAAGGTACCTTAATCGTGTACATTAACCCCCTGCACTCGTAAAACCATCACATAGTTGCATCAGTCAAACAAACTACATCCTAAAACTTAGGACACAAACATCAGAACACTTCCCCGGCACAAACCGCCCCCTCTCTGTTTGTCAAAAAGATGCTATCCTTCAAAGAGTCACTCAGAAGCCACATCCACATCAATGCATAAACACAGCCAAATTTGGTGGGATAAAGAAGCAGAAAGATATACCGAATCACTCAATCACACATCTGCTTTTACATTTCACCGTCTTGGCTCGAAATCTGTTAGTAGTCTATAGGGCTCTTTATGCAGATGAGCAGCAATATGCTAAAAGTAAAAAAAAAAACATTATGGTCTGGACTTGGAAGCAGCTCCATGGTAAGCCACACAACAGGAAGTCACCCGTCGGCATCGCATACTGTATGCACAGGCAAAATATGCTGAAATAATTACAGATCTGCCAACATTAACAACCTGTAAGAGTCCATATAGCATGAAAATTATAAGCTTCCTTTGGCACTGCACTCTTCCATTTTTCATTGCTGTTACACAAAATGATACTTCAACAACTACTGAAGACTACTACAACAGAGGCTTTGCTTTATGTTGATGTAATTTAGGATATCATTTGAGGATTCTTGAAGAGAATTATGCCAATGTTTATGGTAAAAAAAAGTAATAAATTGTTAATTAATTATAGCTTATTTCCAAACCTACAATAACACTGCATAATGGAAGAATAAAGACAAGAAAATTAGTTTTTCCATCCTTCCTGTTTCTTTGGAAATTTGGTAAACAGATTTAACCTTTTTTTCTAAGCGGTCAGAGTGGCGTATGAGATAATGAGCAGTTTTGAGTATTTTGTATTGGTTACACTTTCATAACTGGATTGTAACACATGTACACTGATTCTGTAAGTTGCTGGGGTTAATAGTCAAGATGAAACTACTACTGCTAAGGCTCCTATGTAAGCCCCCACTTCCTGAGAGTCATAAAGATAAAAAAATAATAATATGGGGAAGAAAATCATATATGCACACTGAGGATAAAACAACTCAGTAAAACAACAATTTTTTGCAGTAAATTCCAAATTCCAGCAAAGAAACTCCAGCGAGACAGCGCACATTCATCCACCCTCAATGAAAAACCCTTCATCCTTCTCGTCATATTCAATAGACTGGAGTGACTGTGCCGGCATCTATCAGGCCAGTAACTCAGTCGTGGGTTGAGGCAGACACTTTCAGTGGAGATGTCAGACCCCGCACTTAAAATGATGGACACTTCTCAGGATCAACCACATCACATTAGATTTTGTGAATCTCTGAGAGATTAAAGAGGCTTGCAAAAGCAGAGGTCCATCTGGCCCCAGTGGAGGAGAGAGGCACAGGAAGCCTTAGAAATAGACTAATGAGGCCCTCCGTGATCATGAAAAGGTCTCATTTTCTCCTTGTTTTGCTTTATGACGGACGATGAGGATTTATGCATACCAACACTATCACCCCTCTGCCTGCACCAGCAGCTCTAACATAAAACACAAATCCTTCTGATTTACAGCCCAGATGGTCGAGCTCTCACTTTTCTATGCCTTACATTTGGGCTTGGGAGCTCTCCAGCGGTTGGGTGATCCAAGGGACTTCTCAACAGCTTGTCCCCCAGGATGGAGACAAGGTACTGGGCTATGACCTCCTGCTGCTCCTGGGAGCAATGGTTTTCTAATGACAGGATCACGGGATACGCAGAGACCTGTCAAGAAATAATCACATAAAAAAAATCAGGATTCAAACCCTATTTCCAATAATTAGCATCAACCTGTATCTGCTGCTCTCTCTGCAGGCTCTGAAGTCTCCAGACACAGAGTATGACCTGAACCAATCTGAATCAAAGACAACTTGCAAGCAAAGTATAACTATCATTAGAGCAAATGCAGCTAAGTAGGGACTCCTGGGGCCTTCAGAGGCAGGAGTGAACGCTGAGTTAGACGCCTGGGGCACCACTCCAGGATATATATGTCATGTAACATATTATATGCTGTTACCTCGAAGGCATGTTGCTCCACAGTGGTGATGACATCCTTAAAGAATATCTTGGTGGTCAGGGTGTAGCCATGGTAGACTACAGGCTCCATATCTGGCCCATCCCAGCAGTCAATCTCCAGACAACGACAGCCTTTCCTCAGAGCACTGTGCCACACACAAGCACACACATATATTTGGAGACACATGCACACACATTGAGCTGTGGCAAGGCAATGATAAGCACTTAAAATGTATTGCGTCAGAAATTAGAAGTGAATATTTGAGGCACAAACTGAGCTATTTCCTTTCCACGCACAAGTTAAGCTCAAATTCTCACTTCAAGCCATCATAGCCACTTCCATACAGTGAAGAACACATGTGGATTATATGTAGCAAACATTGCACTCTAATAATTTATTCCAACAGTTTCCTCTAACTGAGTGTATCTGGATCTCCTCATTTAACACCAGAAAATGGTGATTTCCATTTCTGCGATTTCTTTATTTACAAAAATATGGCCAGGTTTATATTGCTTTCTGTTTGCAGTGGACAAAAATGATTTTGCTTTCACAGCAGGGGTGGGGCAAGTAATCACTGTGGCGATAGAACATTTTCTTGCAATCCTGATGCAAAGTTATATCACCATTTTACTTCAATTTGACTTTGGGATGGTTCTGCTTTTTTTTATTTTATTTTTTTTGCTGTTTTACCAGTTTGTTGCTGTTTTACATTTAAATGATGGCACACATGACCATGCACCTTTCATCAGCAGTTGGAGTCCAGGCATGATATTCTGTCACCTCAGTTCTCAGCTATGTTTTTCTCTTTTGTCACAGAAATATCCTGATGATTGTCTTGCTCTAAGTTGTGCATTGCAGAGTTGCTTTGTAACCCTACTTCTATTGTGAGAAAAGCAGTAGCCTATCATATTGAAAGTCACATTGTAATTGCCTCCCATATTTCAAAGAATGGATGAATGGACAGCACATCACCTGGAAGGCTTATTTCTATTTAGTTCCTATTTTCTTAAATTATATTTTATTTATTATATTCTTTTTTATTTTTATTGTACTATAGCATGCAGCGAATGAGACAGGGAATACCATGTAACAAAGGTTATCAGTGAGGTTTAAATCCGGAACATGTGGTTATGAGGAACAAAATGAGTTCTCATTCTGACAGAGCTGGGAAGTGATGAGCTTAGCTTAGCATAAAGACTTTTTGGTGTTTGTGTACAGTTCAAACACACAAGATACAGTGTGTTAATTTGTGATCTTTAATTGTGCTGGTAGGTGTATTTTTACTTTTTCTGACAGAGCCAGGCTAGCTGTTACCCCCAACTTTTAGACTTTATGCTAAGCTTAGCTAACAATGGCTTTACTCCAGCAGCTCCATCCTTCACACAAAGACATGAGTCTTGTACAAATCTTTTTATCTGACTCTCAGAAAGAAAGCATGTCCACCTCTACTCCACCAGTACACAATTAAACAATAATGTCACAGTTTTGTTTAAGTGGGCACTATAGATGTAGTATGCTGGTGCTGTTCATTATTTCCATAAAAACACAGTTACGTTTCCATGTACTGTAAGTATTTTTAAAGCTGAAACATTTTGATCATATATAACTAAAAGTTTCAGTGAGTAAACTACAATCAGACAATTACATCTTCAAATTTCATCTCTTTCGCAAATTCCTTGTTTCACAACATGTTAGCTCTTGTATAGGATCTTGTATTTCTTCCTCCAACAAATTATTTTTGTCATTTTCTTTTCTTCACTCTCCTACCGATGAGGTTGTGGGATTTCTAAAAAGCCACCTTCTACTGCAACTTTGTTCTCCTCTCTCGATGATTATTTCATTATCTAAGTAAACCAGAGTTTCCCGGACGCTGGTTTGGAGGGTTCCACTCTAAGCGGCCAGGACGCTCAGCACTTTCACAGGGACCATAAATACAGCACTACTGCTGCCATCAGCCCCTTTTATAATCACCTCCATTACCCCATAAAGGGACCACAGCAATTTCACTGTCTGTCTCAGCACATGCATGGGTCAATGAAATGAGAGGAAACGAGAATATCCAGATAACTCATATGAAGGAGAGAGGGACATTAGAGAGAAGATAATAGTGTATTGAGAGGCATTTTAGATCTGTATCAGAGCCAAATGGTGTTTAAATTGACCTTATCATTTGTTTCGACCTACATAAAAGATCAGCTTAATGAAATATACATGATTTAGCAGATTAGGTGATTTTGGCAAATTTACAAGTAGAATTTAACCTTTGTCTTTACAATAATTCCCTGCATCATAAAGATAAATGCATGCTGTACTGTATCCACTTCCCTACCAGACATAGGCATCCAGGTGGCTCTTTCCTACTAGCTGATCTCCAGTCAGGTAGGTGTTGTGTGATGAGGAGATGAAGTAACTGGTGAGAGGCTGGTCCATGTCTTGGTACACAGATGTGTGGGCCTGGTCGAACAAGCTGCAGTCTTTGGACTCCATATACCGGAGGAATCCTTCAAACGTCATAGACCTGCTTTCTCTGGCTGGAAGAGGAGGAAAGAGCAGAGTTAACACCTGTGAGTGACAAACTCAAAATCAGCATCTTTCCCTCTACCAAGCGCATAGAAGGGACTACAATAGGTAGTTCCATTGTTAAATATTAAAATAAATCAAATAGGTAGTTTCATTATTAAAATGAAACCTAAGACTATATGATAAAAAGTAAAAAACAATGAGGTCTTGACTTGCCTAACTTCAATTTTCCTTATGTCATTTCAACCCCTTGCCTCTGGTCTTAGAGCAAATCACTTTGTCAACCAGGCACCACTGGAGCGTAGGTCTTAACTTCTATTATAACTAATTTAAAATCATTATGTGACAAAACCTTAGTCCAAAGAACAGAGTTTTTTTTTTACCCATATGAATGAGCAGCAAGCAGCCTGATTTGGTACACTGCGGCTCTCCCTTCACTTACCTGTCTCTACAATCTCATATCTATCAATCAGACTCTCTGCCATCTCCTCATTTGCTGTGAGCTCAAACTGCTCATGATTGAGGAACCTGACGAGGACACTGACAGGCAAAGTCATCTGACCCGAGGCGTAGTATTGGTACAGATGATGTAGTTCAACTCTCCTGCAGGAGGGGGCCGTGCTTTTCTTCATCTTGCCCTGCAAACAATCATTGATTAAGTGTAATAAGCTTGCTATGGCATATTTAGACAAGTTGTCATAATAAAGAAACAGGTCAGGTTATGTTGTCTTGGTTAATGTCATGTTGTCATAACAAAGACATCTCAGACAATGTTAACTTTGCATTAAAATGGACATAATTGACTGAATAACACTTAATGACAACAGCCATAAACATTCATAAAGACTCATTAATGGTCATGGCAGGTGTCATGTGAGTCTTATGTACACCCCTTCAAAAAGAGTGTTAGCAATTATTCTTTAAGGTGTCATCTTGTAGATATTTTAAACACTTGCAAGTGTTTCAAAGACACAACACATCACTTGCTCTCTAAAAATATACAGGAAATAGTGAATAGAAATGTCAACTCAAAGATGTAGCCCAGCTTTTACCTGAGCTCACTGTTGAAATACTACTTTTTCAAAGTCAGCATTAAAGAGAATACAAGAGAAGTCAGGGTCTTCACTCTGTCTGCACAAAGTTCTCCCATCCTCTCACACTGCACCTCCCCTCCCCCCTGCTCTCTGTATCTTTTACTTCCATCAAATATTAAGGCAATGTCTGTGTGACTTTCTCATTTTAGTCCCTCTCCTCTCCTTGTCGTTCCTCTCAGTCAGTGAGACAAAAAGTATCTGTGACTTTGCCTGGCTTTGTGTGTGCCTCTCTCCCTCCATACCTTTCATCTCTCTGTTCTACAGCCCTTGACAGTTCAGACGTATGCCTAAGCCAGTGCTGTCACTGGGTACCCTGCAGTGGGCTGGCCTCCCGCTGCATCTGTCGCCTCAGTGTGAGCAACATGAACCAAGCTCTGCTATCATTTTCATTAACCTTTTATGCAGTTGCAGCAACTGTTTCTAAAACAGAAGTTCCCTGTAAAGTGGTGTAATGTGTGCAAAAGAGCTTACAATTGGCCATTAACCCAAGACAAGTCACTGATCTTACATAAGATAAACCTTTCTCACATGAAAGATAGCTACTACGCTTACAATAAACCAGTGTAACTGAGTAGCTGGATGGAACGCCTATGGAACATCCTAGATGTTTAGTGGTTAAAACTCAATAAGATATAATACAAACAACAGCCTACCTGAGATATTGATGGCCTTTCAATGGATATCTAACGTTAGCAAACAAAACAGCAAGGTACTTTTTCAGCAGGTTTAAACTACATAAAGTTGTTGCCATAGTGACAAAACATTCCAATTCTATGGGTATGTTATGTAAAAAAAACCTCTGAAGATCATAAGTGCATTGCATACAGCTTCCTCTAAAGTATGGCAGAGGAAGATTAAAACTCACCCTGTGTCTGTCTCCTCTCATTTTTTCAGACATGCAGTGGACTTGGTGGTAGGATACAGAGAGAATAGAGAAAGAACTTTTGCCTTCATGTTTCAGCCTGGTGAAAGCACAGTTTGGGGTGAGTAAAAAGTCTTTCCCTTTCATATGATTGACAAAGTCATCATATCTCAGTGTGATTAGAAGTGTAAACCAGCATAACACAAGTCCAGTTTAGGCCAATCGACATACACTAGTTATTTGATGGAGGTTGTGTTTTCGGTCACAGATTTCAGGATTTCTAAGGAAAAACTGAATTTATGGTAGGCTACAGATAGTGCCACCATTTGCCCATTTATAAAGCTTTACATTTGCAAACTCTGTATTTTGGCCTATAACTCCTGATCTGCTAAGTGCCAAAAGCAAACTTTAATATTTTACAATAAATCAATATTTTTTTTCAACATCCAAACATCACATCTTTACCAAACTTGGTAAAGAATACTATTTTTACATTTGGTGGTTAGCGGTCTAGGGACGGCAACACCGGGCAGTTGGTCTATCCATCCCAGAGTGACATTTCTTTACCTTGACATTTGACACACTCATGGTTCTCAGAGGTGAGAGGTGTGCCTAAGTACAGCCGTGTACAGCCTTCTGATTCTTTAGTTCATTTATAATGTTTTCTGACATTTGGTTGCCAGTTCTGGCCTATTTGACATTACCCCGCCATTACTCTTAAATGCACTGGGTAATTGCTTCTAAATTTAGACATCTACTCTGAGTTTATTCTGTGAATGGTGCAACTGGAACATGTTAAATTAAATACCCAGAACTCAGAAATGGTTACGAGTCTGACCCTAAGAAAACATTTTTGTCCAACTAAGATTTATGGAGAAGATGTAGGTATTCTTCAAAAATCTTCTTCCCACCATCAGCCAGTGCAGATTAAAACATAAATAAAAAAACATAAAACATAAAAAAATTTTGAAAGCTTATTATAATAATCAGTTTGAAGGATTATGTAGCCTTAGCACATGTTTGCGCTATTTGAGAGCTCTCACTCAGTGATCTGGTCCAAATGACTTCTTGCTTGTGATTTCTTACAACAGCATGGTAAATTGAAGCTCTGGCATCTCCAATGAGTGCTACATGTGCTACAGGGTGCTCTGAGCTGCTGCCTGAATACATCAAGTAAATAAATGCCAATAGTCTACAGAGCACCAGAGATTAATTTCAGTGGTATTCATTTCATGGAATTAAGTCCACATTCTTGAAAAAAAGTCAAAGCCACAGTGGATGAAAGAATGAACGCATCAAGAGATCTCATCTATGCAACAGTCAGTGAAGCTTAGAGAACATTTCCACTGAATCTGTGTTGGTTGTTTTAGCAAGTTTGACAACAACTTCCTGCCTGGTTGTCTGTGTAAATCTGAATGTTTTTGGTATTGTGTGAATCACTGGTGCACAACAATAGTCACTGCCTAGTAATAGTCCAGCAGAGTCATTCCTGTCTACACCAGGCTGTAATGGCTTGGCCTTGGGCCTGTCAGAACCATTGGGCATATGAATTTGATGTGCTAATTCCCAGGCAGTGAACATGAAGCCCTGTATATGGCCCCTGTCTCTGCATCACTGCACCTCCCGGTTAGTTGGACTCGTTTGGGAGCAGAGTGTGCTTGTGTAGCTGTCAGTTTTTGCTTCTGTGCTCATGTGCATCTATGCATATTGGAGGGTCAATGGTGAATAAAAGATCAGCAGTCTGTGC